AGAGAAGAAACAGAAAAGGATGCTGGGAGAGAATTTCAGTTTCATGGCTGCTCAGAGAAGGATTTTTAACAGTGTGGGTAAGTATTACCTCTTAGATATGTCTGGAGAAAATCCAGAATTACTATCATGTAGCACGGGAGCAGTCCTAGTGGGGGCTCTGTGAAATCTAAAAATGATCATACTTCTCATACTTTCAAAAAAATGCTCGGTGTAGTTATTGCATCTTCTGAATGGCTGGATCCCAGCCCAGTTCACTCTGCTGGGTCTATGTTGTTGTGAGTCTCACCTTATCTTGCTGCCTACAGCTGAGCCCTGTTTTCCTAGAGTAGTCAGCATGACTTCCAGCCACAAAAAGGGGCAACTCCATGGTATGAAGTTCCTTCTGTTAGACTGGAAACAACAACAACAAAAAATGTTGCAGGAGCCTTTCCATAGTTAGCACATAGAAAAACTATTTGGCTTAGTGAAGTGGCTTCTTAACTTGGGCACTGGCTGAGAGATTCATTGGTGTTTTCATGCATCTTTCAATAAAGAGTAAAGGAAAATTCTCAGGCATGCAGATGACCACAGACACAACCCTTGCAAACACTTACATGTGGCCACAAATCCCAGCCTTGCAGATGCCTGTGCCAAGCTAGTTTGGCAGGCTGTCAGCATTGTCCTGCAGAATGTAGATGAGGGATGGGAAACAGATGGATTATAAAATATTTTAAAAATTACTAAACCTGAACAAAATTTGATAGGACTAAGAAAATGAGAAAAAGACACATGACCATCCAGATGGTTCTCTCAGGCTTCACAGATCTGTTGAAAACAGCAAAGGTCTTAAAAAGGAAAAAAAATATCCTTCAAGCAAACAAACCACAAGCAGACAAACGAAATACACACAAGGGTCCTGTAATGGAAATGTTGGAAAGCACAATCAGAGGTCAGTATCTGCTCCCTTTGTAATAACAACTTGTTTTATTGTTTGTACTAAACAGTACTTGAGGCATATTTTGCTATTAGACAGGGTCAATCCTTCCAAGTTGACTTTCACATTTCAGAGCTATTTACACCCACTCTACTGATTTGTAACACACACACACAGAGGAGATGAAGATGATGTAAACTAAAGGTGTTATCTGCAGCCTATTTTAACTTGCACCTTGTTCCTCCTTCTTGGCACTCCCATTGTGGCTGGTTTGGTTGGTGAACGTAGGCCTAAGGGAGTTTGTACAGAATGGGCTTGACTCTGTACCATACAGTACAGACCGTACTATTTCACACATATAATCTCTGGAAACTGTTGTTTACAATGTCATCTTTTAACGGAAATCCAAAAACATCTTCTAGCTTCATAAAAGAGCTGGATTATACTGTAATCTTTTACTCAAGTGGCTCAGAAGGAAAATGTTATTTTTCAATTTGATACCTAAGTGGCTGGTTATGATTTTAAAATATCCAGTGACAGAAGAAAATAGATATAATGGTTGTCTGCTTGAACTGCCGTAGTCTAAGCACAGGGCTTTTGAACCAAAGTGGGTTGTGAAATATTCGGGAAGCTATTAAATTTGACACATAAATATGTCTTTGAAGTCGGGATCTCACTAGACATTAATTTCTAAATGGTCTTTGAAGGAGTGTTGCCAGGTGAAGGGGAGCAGGCTTGTAACTGAAGACAGACACCTGTACCATCAGATACAGCACCTGGATCACACTTAGAGGTGCTGGCTGGACTCAGGCTTGGTCAGCTGCCTGTCCACCCATCCCACTGCTGATCTCAGGTAGAAGTTGTGGGAAAGGTATGTTTAATGCAAATGAACGGATAGGCTAGGTGTTTCCTTCAAATTCGTGGCCATTCACTCTCCATCATCTTCCAGACTTTTTCTCTAGTTTCTTGTATGTGGTGGACAACATGGGTAATTCACATGAGGCTATGTAGGCAAAGGCCCTGGGTGAAGGCAGGATGCCAATGATAGTATTTAGGGTTTGCCCTCGAGGTAGCTTTTTTGCACTTGCAGTCTCCCAAAGGCAGGAAAGGACCAGTCAGTGAGTGAGAGCATACATAATAGTGAATTGACCCAGTCTGCTTTGGAGAAGAGGCCTGACATTGAAGGGCAGTATCAGGAAGTTCTTCTCGTGAAGTGGAAATGACTACTCTCTTCACGCTAGGCAGGTTATGCTGAATGTTATGTCAGGCCCACTGCTGAGCCAAAGATGGTCTGATCTAGTCAAACTACCTGTTGCAAAGTGCCTTCAACAAACTTTACTTTTTGCCTTTATTGTACCCAGTCCTAAGAGCTACTGCCAGCTTTGCTCAACCAGGCACGTGGCTTTTTCTTCTTTCTTTGAATTCTCATCTATGTGCCATCTCCCAGACTCTGTCTCTAAAAGGGGACATATCTTTGTCCAAAACAGACGTGGCTGTCTGGGCTTACTGGAACACCTGAGGTTCTGAACAAGAAGACCCACAAACTTCTGGTTGTACCCAAAAATATTTTGCAAGATTTTGCAAAAATATTTTGCAAAAGAGCTAATACAAGACAGAAGCACAGCAGTGGGTTGTGCTAAGTTCAGTACTTTGGATGTCTACGATAATATGAAGTTCAAAAGCTCTGCCTTTTTCTTACTCTGTAAGAGGGGAAATTAGCTCTAATAAATCTGCAAAGCCCATTTAAAAGTAAAACAGGTGCAGTGATACAAAGCTATGTTACTAAATATCACATTGATCTTTCTTCCTGTGGTGTGGCTCAGAAGGCAATCTACGGTTAAACTTGGTTGTAAAATTGGGAACTCCCAGGTTCAAAGCTCTCCACACCAAGACTAATACCCTATCTTAACCATCTTTTGTGCAGAGGGAAAATCATCCAGACAACAAGCAAACAGAGCAGGAAACTCAATGGATCAATTTTGTTCCTTGAAGATTATTGCTTTCTTCAGAAGAATTGCATAAGGCATGAATTTAGTTTATTATGCCTTGAGCTAAGGTTATGCTACCTTATTTTGTCATAGTTCAGTGCACATGCATTTAATCAAAACATGGTATGGGCCAAAGAGACAATTTTCCCCACTGTATTTCAATTACAGGCACCTATTGTGAGTACCCTTGGGCTTGTTGCCTGAAAATGCCATTTTCAGTAGTCCTCAGAATGTATTTCCCCCCCTTTCCTGTGGGCAAGCCATCCAATTATTCAAAATTCCTGGGTAAAAGTTCTCTAGTTTTTCAAAATTACTACAATGAGATTACTGTATCTGTATTTAATCTCACTATCTTCTGCAGTTCCATAAAAAGTTCTAACTTAGAAAAAAAATCAAACTTACACAAATTTTAGTTGAGCAATGGTTAGCTTCAACAAGGGAAATGGAGGGTAACACAATCTCTCTTTACATCAACTCCCTTACATAGCTATGGCTTTTTTTTAGCAGAGGCAGGCAAAACAATGCTTCCCTCTGAAATTTAAGTAAACATGTGTGTGGGATATTTCAGAGAATGTTATAAGTTTCCAAAGTATTACAGTAGTAAAAAATCTGTCCTAAAAAGTCACTGTAATAATGTGAAAAGAATACTTAAACTATAAAAATTAAAGACAGGTAACATATTGTATTTCTTTGATTTATTATCTCCTTTTATGAGCCTCTCAGTAGAGAAAAATGTTACAAGCAATACAAAGTAGCAGCTGTGTTTAGTGACTTATGACATAGCCACTTATGTCCTACAATACAATGCAAACATTGACATTGTGAAATAAACACATAGAAAACATTAACCGTGTTCAGAATTGAAATAATTTACAGATGTCTTAGGATTTTACAATTCAAATAATTCAATTTAAAAATCATATATTTTATACCAAAATGGTGTTTTGGCTAAACTTCTTCTATCTCCTATCAGGTTACCACCTAAGCGCAAGAATTTCTGAGACAGCAGTGCTACTTGCCAGAGATGAGTGCTTCTCTGCCCTGCCACTCTTCCACCCCTCAACCCCCTTCCTTTCCAGGGATATCACCTTAGGCATGGGCGTCTGCATCAGGGCATCAGGGACCTGCTTTGAGAGCATAATTTCTTCTTCAGTTCCCAGATGACTGTAGGACATTGCTGTTCTTACTGCTAATCATCAGTGCTCTGATGCTGTCTTCAGAAAAGTTAATCAATCTCACTAACAAAAGAAATTTACATGCATGGACATGTAATCATTGTAGTAAGGAGTGGTGTTTATAAAAAGCATGTGAAGGATATTATTGGAATTGAAGTATTTGCATTTATATATATATATATATATATATATATATATATATATGTAAGTAAGACTGTTTTTTACAAGTTTTTTTATTTACTTCTAATTTCAAGTCAGGCTAATGTTGCCCTGTGAAACATTACCACATTGCTGAAGATATAGGTGATATGTAGAGAGATAGAGAGTTTAGAGAGAAAAATAGCAGTGGATTATGAAGCAATCAGAAATGCCCTCACAAGCAGAGAACTTCCATCGTCTTCTGACATATCACACAGATATCTTATAATTTTGCTCAAATACTTAAAGATTTAATTATGAATAAACTCTCCAGTTGGAAACATTTTAATTTTCAGTGGCTGTATTCTATTAGAAACATTAAGAAAAATGGGATGGAGATATATAGACTGGAAGGAGAAATAATCATATTTTATTCTGAGAATTTGCTTCAGATTTTGGTAAATAAAGAGAAAAAAAAAAGTAATGATGTATTTTTACCCATAATTCATTGAACTCTTACTGTTGTGTTTTGGCAAGTAAGGATGATTATGGTCAGCACTCCCATAGCACGGAAAGCTTTCTGTTTATTGAGCAATTGAATTTCTCCTTTTCTTTTCTTGGTGGATTTTAGGATTTATTAAGTGCAGAAGATTAGTAGCAGTAGTAGTAATGTGAAATAATATAATACAGGGTGGATTATGATAGAAAGCAAAATAATTCACATGTAAAATCCCAAGTAGAAGTCTTTACAACCATAAGAAAGATTTGCCTTTTTTTTTTTTTGCTTTTTTTTTTTTTTTATTTTGTGGATTTGTGAAATATACTTGTAGAGTTTTAACATTTCAGTTTTGCGTTACAAAGTAGCCCATTAAATCTTCACTTCTAAAGCCAGTTATTATAGTTATTATTCTGGAAGGCTACTGCTTTTTTGGCATCACTTCATATGAATAGGGATAGTAGTTGCTGTAATGAAAATTTGTCATCAAGATTGTAGAGTGGATCCATACCACATGCTGCTTATTATAAACTTGTCTTGTTGAATCTTCTTGATGTCTTTCCCCAGAAAAGTCTGCACAAACATCCTCATGGACTGTAACTTTGCCTTCCTGGTATTATAGTGCCAAAGAAATCACTTGATTAATTTAAAGAGTTTACATTTGAATGTGGATTCCTTCTCAGAGTATTGCACATGGAGTATGTATTGTTTTACTCATTGCTGCTACATCCTGGGCCAGAGTGACTTGCTCTTGAGCTCAAGGGCACTGATGACTGCACAGCTGCCTGTCATTCTCCTGAAATGTCTACCTTTAATAACACCAGAATGTAAGGGCTGTTCTGGTGAAGACATAGATATGACAGCAGAAGTACCCTTGGCCCTGAAGACTACAAAGATTAGGTTGTACCTTCTGTCTGCCATTAAATGGAATAGGAAGAGACAAAACAGAATACTCCTCCTCTCTTGTAACTCCATCCTTCTTTTCCCGAAGAAGCAGAGGAAAAAAAAAAAAAAAAGGAATCACATCAGAGGGATCCTAAATTCAAGTCTAAATTTAATTATTTTTGCTATATACTAAAATTGTAATTTGAAATTACATAAAGAAAAAAAATCAATTAGTTCCATTGATATTGTTGAAAGAACTATTTGTGTTACTAAACAAAATCAACTAGTTTTAATTGACATATTACTTCATCACAAACATGGTAGCACTTTGTATATCTGTTGGTTAAGGCTGTTTGACTGCACTGTGGGTCTGATTGGACTGCAGAAGGCAGTCAGAAGCTGGAGAGACCAGCAGCAGTTCAGTAGAAAATGGTTTGATTTGAGCTTACTTGAAGACCTAAAAGACTGACAAAATTAGGGTTGTTGTTGAAGTTAGATATTCTTATGGACAGAATCACAAGACAGAAAGCAACTCAGCGATATTTATTTCTTTGATATCAATAATGGCCAGTTCTATGTGTACGGTCTCCTTTCTTTACCATCAAAATAGAAAAATAGAATTGCATTTTTTTTTTCCGTTTAAAATGTGTACAAAAGCAGCAGGAATGAATGCAGGAGAATATCAGCACTTAATCCCTGTCCCCATGCAGACAGATGTTTAATAAAAAACGTATTGCAGCAGGAAGAAATTTGAATGTTAAGCCTGGGATATAGTCAGCCTCTGGAAGAAGGAATGTTGAGGAGGTGAAGGGAACTCCCCTCTTGCACTCACTGCTAGAATTATGTGAAGGAAGCATTAATTATGAAATATATAATTCATGCTGGCTTTTAAAAAATCAGATAGAATTAATTTTTTAAAAACTCTTTCACCGTGTCCTTCTTCCATTGGTATTACATGTTAAGAATGTAAAAATAAAAATTATGAAGTTAATCATGCATTAAACAGTTCTTAGCAGAGATGCCACAGACAAAACACTTGTGGCTCAGTGCACCTGTAGGTACAGAAATTTGTACACCGGAATTTTGGTAAGAAATTTCAGGGGACAAGACAGAGTAGGACACCCTGGGAAAAAAAAAATAAAGGCAAAAAAAAAAAAAAAGCACACACGAAAAAAAGCACTACATTCTTTCATCAGAGCAAATACTTCCATATAGCAAGAACATATAGCAAGTGTGAGTAGCAGAAGGTTTAAAATACCACAAGGAAGGTAGTTTGTATTCTGTTGCTAAATCCTAGGAAAGGAATTATTCACATGCATTACCCAATCCACTCCTTCAGGCAAGAAAAAGTCACATAGTTTAGTTAAACACCAAATAAATACCAATTGCTGGGCTATCTGTCTGCACTGAACCATAAATGGGTAGCTCTGTAGGTTCCTCTCTTTCTACTTGTCAGTCTCATCCTGGTTTTGCACATTGATTTTTACCAACATAGCTGGACTGACTCTCAATCACTATTTTGGTGAAGTGGAAGCTTTGTAAAATCACGTACATATACATTTCAGCTTACAGTGTATGGCAATTGTATACATGCTCATGCTTCTGTTCTCTGCAACTGTGCTATCCTGAAGGTTGAAATATATCCTGTGGAGACAAATGGTTTGTGTCTGGAGCTGGATCCAGTTAGTCTTTTTCACTTATCACAGTTTGGATGAGGGTTTATGACTGCAATACTTGGCAGCCAAGCTGTCAAACCACATTAACTCAAATGTGCTCAATATAAGGTTGGCTGGACTGCATGGCTAGCTGTATGCCAGCAGACATGGACACTGTGATGAATATGCTACAGTGTCCAGTGCTGAAGTCTTGAATTGTCAGTAAAAAAAATGCTGTAACTGTAAATTGCACAAGTCAGAACCTCAATCTAAGGGAGATCTCTGAGAAGGGAACTACCAAAGGGATTATTTTCCACCCAGAATAGCAGGTGAACATAGACCTCACTTGGTTTTATTTTGCCATTTGTTTGCCAGGAACCTTATTCAAGTATCTGGTGCATTAAAAGCTTTTTAACAACTTTAAACTAAAATAAGAAAGAGTTAGTTTAGATGCCAGGAGGAAATTCTTCACTCAGAGGGTAGTGTGGCACTGGAACAGGTTACCCAGAGAAGTTGTGGATGCCCCATCTCTGGAGGTGTTCAAGACCAGGTTGGACAACCTGAGCAACCTTATCTAGCGAGTGGTGTTCCTGCCTATGTCAGGGGGTTGGAACTGGGTGATCTTTAAGGTCCCTTCCATCCCAAGCTGTTCTGTGGTTCTTTGATTCTACGATTGCTATATTCAAATATACTGTAATGTTTTGCACCTGTACATGTTAAAGGTTTAACATTATTTTAAAGATCCATGTCCCTTAATTTTAATTATTAGTAAGGCTATTTTACAGTTTAATGAAGTTCCTTTATATGAGATCTGCAGTGAGGTGTAACCAGGAGTTATTTGCGCCTGGTATTCATTCTACAAGAAGGCTGGTAAATGGCCAAAAAGAGATGGCAGTTAAAATGACAAAAGTTGGTCAGAGCACAGGTCTCTTCATGCTACTTGCAGCTTCTGGGGTGGAGAGGTAGTTTCCAGTGGATGGCATTCTGGAAACTGAGAACCTGGAGTGCTTTCTTTCTTTCTTTGCACCGGAACTTGGAATGCTTTCTTTCTTTCTTTGCACCTTCATATAGAGATTGAAGTGGCAGTATCTGCATCACTGGGAAGAAAAGACTGAATCATTAATTGTGAATGATCTACTGATTATATATATATATATAATATATATATTTCCCTACTCACAAGCTGTTCATGAAAATGCTGCATGTCATTTTGATACCTACCTCTTTCTGGTGCCATAGCATTACCAGCAACTTTGGAAAGTTGCCTGGGACATTCCCTATTCAACACTTGGTGAACATATTCTGTCTCTGAATGCCTATGGACCATGTTGCCCACCACACGTTTTCATCTGTGGGTATGGCTGTTTATATCAGCTCTGCTCTGGGCTTAGAGAAGACTCTTTCACAGCAGCAGAGATGGGTCACAGCCCGCAAAGTGGTGGCAGCAGTAGACAGGCAGTTGTGGATGAAGATGCTCTTTCCTCAGGTGCAGTGCCCACTTTTGTGGGAGGAATCATCTTTCCACAAACAGTCACAAAAAAGTGCTAATGATGCAGATGTTAACAAGAGCTGATTAAGATGAATTTCTGATGTAATTGAGCTGCATTTCAGAGTAGGACTAGTTGTAGAAAATACTTTTGCAAAATTTAGCCAGCTCTATGTTTCACATGACTCCGTATTTATATTAAATCTTTCTATCTAAAACATGCTTAAATAGAATGTTACATTTCTGTATGATCAAAACTATAAGAACAAACAATGGAGTTATTAATTTTTAATTGTAGTTTATAGATATATCATCTATTCATGTCTGATGCCTTCATTCTTGTAATGTAATGTTGAGTGAACTGTTAACGATTTCCCTTAATCAAGTGCAGATTTTTGTACTGTTAATGCCTTTAAGCAAGCAAATATTTCTCTTAATTTAGTCTCTTTTCCTGTTTGCAAAGCTTTGCGCTAACTTTGTCTGAACAGTCTTATGAAAAGATCTTGATAGAAATATACAAAGGAAAGCATATAAGTGTCATGGTTCCGCTCGAGTGGGCAGCCAAGCTCCACCACAGCCACTCTCTCACTCCCCCTCCTCAAAGGGGAATGGGGAGAAAATATGTGAAAAGGGCTCAAGGGTTGAGATAAGGACGAGAAAATCATGCAGTAATTATTGTAACGGGCAAAACAGACTCGGCATAAGGAGATAGTAAGATTTATTGCCTATTACTAACAAGAGAGAGAAGTGAGAAACAAAGGAAAGAAACCAAAAGCACCTTCCCCCCTATCCACCCTCTTCCACCTCCTCCCCCCGAGCAGCGCAGGGGAATGGGGGAATGGGGGTTATGGTCAGTCTACAGCACTTCTTCTCTGCCGCTTCTTCTTGGTCACTCTCGTCCCCTGTGCTGTGGGGTCCCACCCACGGGATGCAGTCCTTGATGAACTGATCCGGCGTGGGCTTCCCACAGGCAGCAGCTCTTCCAGAACTGCTCCAGACATGGGTCCATACCACGGGGTCCATCCCTCAGGAGAAAACTGCTCCAACCTGGCTCCCCCACGGGCAGCAGCTCCTGCCAGGTCACCTGCTCCTGCGCGGTCTCCTCTCCACGGGCTACAGGTCCGGCCCGGAATCTGCTCCTGCAGGGGTCTTCCACAGGCGGCAGCCTCCGTCGGTGCAGGGCCACCTGCTCCACCGTGGTCTCCTCCATGGGCTGCAGCGTGGAACCCTGCTCCACCGTGGTACTCCATGGGCTGCAGGGGGACATCCTGCTTCACCATGGTCCTCACCACAGGCCGCAGGGGACTTCTGCTCTGGCGCCTGGAGCACCTCTCCCCCTCCTTCTACACTGACCTTGGTGCCGCTCCTCACTCCCTTCACTCTCCCAGCTGCTGTGTGGCGCAGCGTTTTTTTCCCTGTCTTAAAAATGCTCTCACAGAGGCGCAAAACAACATCGCTTATTGGCTCAGATCTGGAAAACAATGGGGCCCTTCCCAAACATGGGGCAGCTTCTAGATCTTTCTCACATAAACCACCCCTATGGCCCCCTGCTACCAAAACTTTGCCACGTAAACCCACTACAATAAGAAAAGGGAACAAAATCTGATTTTACACATCCAAGGGTACGTTCTTTTTTTTTCATAATATGTTTCATGTGCTCAGTATGTTTGCTCAGCTACTGAACCCTTTGCTGTGGGTACTGTTTAAGGCAGCTTATGGCCATTTCAAGTCACCTAAAAGAAATTGTGCCATATTGAGGACAGATGAGCAGAGAGAACAAGTATCTCTGTGTTTAGCAGTCTGTCTTTCAATATGCCCCTCTCACCTCAACATCTTCCCTTGTAGCAGATTTATCAGGATCTGAATGGAGCAAACACCTGAGAATGCCTTGTCTGAGTTACCCTTTGCCTTTGCGTATGGGCTGCTCATGTCAAGGCTGTGTACTTGCTGTGTACTTGCATTTCACAGACTGTATCAATCAAAGAACCACCTAAGACTTTCAAAAAAATACCTGAGGATAGTCTAATTATTTTGAAAATAATCCACATAGCATTTTTGAAATGTCTGCAGAGTACTTTTCGTTTCCAGCCAAATACAAGCTGGCAAGCTTTCAATGCTTGTTACTTTTCATCTTAGCAAATTTTATTCCTTTCTTATTCACAGAGAGTTTTGTGTGTTTTCATAACAGTCTGAAGTTGTAGCATTTCATAATTTATGGCCCACCAGTGATTCATTGTACACAGATTGATAAATTGCTAGACATAGACAATACAGGGGACAGTCAGTCTTTTTTTTTTTTCCTTCTTCTTTTTTTTTTTTCTTTTTAATAGTCTCATGAATATATTCCTTTGGCTTTCAGAAATATGTGGCCATCAGAATTAATTATTAAAAAAGTAATAGCCTCAACCCTCTGTAGATTTCTGAATACAAAATACAAAGTTATTTTGTCTTGTTTTCCCTGAAAAAAAATCAACTCCTTTCTACCATAAGCATTAACTGACAAAATGAAGCAATTTCTCTTCTGTGCAGGAAAGCATGGAACAAATAGGAAAATCAGTGGTGTCTAATATAGCAGGAGAAACTCATTTAGCAGCATAGTTGCAGTCCCTGATGTCAGATGAGATCATTGTTGATATGAAGACAATAAGGCTTATTTAATGATGCTGGTCTACTTTCATTTTATTGTAAGGAGGTTATGTACAGTGTGAAAGCGTACTCACTTTGCATAATACAACAGAACAGGGTATCATCAGGAAAAATGTGACAAAAATTAACCAGTGCAAAGCATGTAACTCTTATGCTGTGGCTGTACAGTGACTTGAACATACACGTTAGCTTCATACACTGGCTGCAGTTGCTGTAAAGCTGGTGACCAAGGTGATTCATGTTTACTGTTAAAAGAACTGCTCAAGAAAGTTAAGCTTTTGTTCCCCCTCCCCCTGCCTATTTCACTTCTAGAAGAGCTTTGTACTATGACAGCAGTGCACAGGCTCGCTGTGTGTGACACCTGGCATGTACTAGCTGGCTCACATCAGCCTGCAGCAGAAAAACAATGCCTTCTGCATCTGCATGGGTCAGAGGATGGGCTTTTTGAGTTGGCAGGTGGTCCGACTGGGCTGTTTTAGTAATTTTATCTGGCTTTTGCCAATTGCATTAACATGCATTGCTGTAATGCAAGAAACATGACACTTGCATTAAAATAGTGTTGCAAGTGTCAAGATGGATTTAGAGGTTCTTCTAGATGTGGGGTTGGGATGGATTATTTTTGGAGTGTGATGTATTTTTTAAACAGAAGCAAAAAAGAGATCAGATGATGTTCAGACAAGTTCAATTTTCCTGACACTAACTAGAAACGGACAGGTCACTGCTGTGAGCCACTTATTAAACTCCTTGAACCGAAGAAGCACTATTAATGACCATTTCCACCCTATAATTTAGTCCTACTAACATTTGTACTTTCAGGGACTTTCTAAATAATTCATTGAGCCTTGCATGGCTTTAATGGGGGAAATAAGAACTTTTTCCTAGGCTTTGTGGCCCAGAAATTGAACACATTTTCCACTTAAGTCATTGTAGCTTTTTTTTTTTTTTTTTTTTTTTCCCCTGAATTTACTGAAAACACTGCTTATGGAAGTAAAGCAGAGAACTGCAATGTATGCGTCTGATATGTAAGAGAGACAAATGCCTCATTTTAAAATGTTGTCCTGTCTGAAATGCTTTTACTTACAGCTGTTGCTGTTTGTCTCTTTCAATACATTCAGTGTAAGAATTAGCCTTCACCCTCTTATCTCTTTGCTATTCTTTTTTTTTTTTTTTTTTAATTTTCTTTCCCAAATCTGTAACAAGTCTGGTGTTTGGCTTCAAGCCAACTGATTAAGTTAAAAAGAACTTTTGTAATGCATTTAATTGGTTCTGTCTGGCATGCCCTTTGGCAAGAGCAGGTGAGCAGGTGTATGGTTGGTTGCTCTCCAGATAGGCATTCTTTGCACAGACAAAATATTCTGCCAAATTATGAGAGAAAAGTATGGTGGTCTCATATGTTTGTCTTACTCCCTTTCACGAGCAGTCTGGACTTCATCAGTTACAGGTTTTAAAAGAAAGAGAGTCTTCTGAACAACATAATAAATTATAGCCATAGTTTGTACATGACTGACTATCAGACTCCTGATTCTTTTTCTTTAAGAAAATTTAACTTTTCTTTAAGATTTTTTTTCCTCCCCTTCTAGTGAATCGGTATAAATAACAAATTATCTGAAAGTTCTCTCAGTCATAATGCTACGGCAGCATGTCCTGTGTTGGGTTCTGGCAAGCTAGCTATAAAGCGTAATTGTACCTGCAGGAGTGGGGCTAGATGGAAGGAAATCTTAGGCTAGCAGCTTTTGTTGGTTTATCAAGAAAAGAAAGTCATGCATATTATCAAATTGCTGTAACTGACATTTCAAATTATATCTGTCTTATATACCTATGGATTCTTTAGTACCATTGATGCAATTTAGAAAAGACCTTAGCAGTAGAGGGATAATGATTCTGGAGTAAATTCTTAGGACACTTAGTTTCTCTTTAGAAAGACCGAATTCAAGGAAGGCAATAGTAAGCCAAAGAAAGGATGTAATTTATATTTAGTGCAAAGCATATAAATATAAGGACAATTCATGGTTAACAATCATCCATTGCCAAAGGATTAAGGACATAGTATAGTAGCTTTGAGATAAGACTACAAAATTGAAGCAGAATGTTGATGCATGACCTCATTTTCCCTTTTTAAAATGAGGTTCTTAGCAGTCTACTGTACACTGCAGATTTAGCATAGCCAAGCCTTTTTGGCTGATGAAAAATTAAGAACCACTTAGAAAATTCAGGGATCAGGTGGAGCTCTGGTAAATCTTCCCTGAATATTGGATGGGTTACCCATGAAGGAAAAGATTTTAAGTTAAATGAGGAGAAAATAATAGCAATTATCAAACAAACAAACATACAAAAACAAAATCACAAAACTAAATCCAACTTTGGTTATGAGCTAGTTAAGAGGAAATAGGTGGGCCATTCAAAAAAAGTGAAAATAGTTCTGCTTAAAACACGGTAACTGCTTATAATCTGTATTCTTCTTGTTAGTTTTTGAGTAACTTTAAAGTCGTATTGATACATAAAAGCATAAAAGTTAACTTTAAAATGTTAACATTTTTGTTACTTTAAAATGATGGAAAATATTACTTTTGTAAAATTATATTCCTCAGCTCAAGTCACACTTGACTGAAAATCAGAGGGTAATTAAAAAGCACATGACAGAAAATTGTAAATTCAGTGAGTTTTTTGATTGCACTAAGCCTGCTGTTGAGCAGAACCACCAGAGCCCTTTCTGCTGAGCTGCTCCCCAGCTACTTGTTGAACTGCATGTCACTGATGATTGTTCAATGCTCCAGTGTCTCTAGATCCCTCTGCAAAGCCTCTCATCCCTCCATAGAGGTAACAGCAACTCCCAGTTTAGCATCCTTAGCAGAATTACTGAGGATGCATTCCACTCCTGCATCCAGATCACTGATAAAAATGTTAAACAGGACTGGCCCTAGAGCTGAGTCCTGGGGAACACTGCTAGTGACTGGGTGCCAGCCAGAGGCAGTCCCATTCACTGTGACCCTTTCAGCTATATTGTTGAGCTAGTTCATCTGCCAGCACAGCATGAATCTCTTTATCTCACAGTTGGAAAATGTGTCTAGATGGATGTTGTAAGGGATGGTATCAAAGGCCTCACTAAAGTCCAGAAGGATTACATCCACTGCCTTTCCTTCATCCATGAAGTAGGTGACCTTAACATGGAAGGAGGCCAAATTGCTAAGGCAGGATCTTCTCTTTTCCCTGGTGAACCTATGTTGACTATGCCTGATAACGGTATTTTGAGAAGCTGTGGTTCTAGGCCGTTGGTAAGAAACCTCTGTGAGCCCAATAGATTGAATTCTCCAAGACTTCTTTGATAATGCTTTTGAATTAGATTTAATAAGATATTGACATTTTAGGTCTGCAGGCAATCAATATTTTTTATCTAAATTATAAATATAGTGTAGAAAGTGACATTTTAAAGCCAGTGAGATACTGTCACTTCTTTCAGTGGTCTGAAATATGTTACAAAGTATTTAGCTCTTTGTCTACA